TTGTGGATACTGTGGATGTGAAGAAAACAAAGTGCTGGAGAAACTCTGCACATCTAGTTGCATCTATGGAGACAGCAACAGTTTTGTGATCAATGTGACTCTTCTTTGGAACTCTCAGTTCCTATTCACATTAGTTCCTAGTCATATTACCTCAAAACATTAACTTTATTTCTCTCTCTCTCCACAGATACTGTCAGATGTGTTGATTTATCCACTATTTTATGTGGCCATGGATTTGTAGCAAATAGTGTTGTTTTATTCACAATAGGTAATTTATGTTCATCAATAGGCTATGGTCCCACAACTGTCTAAGGTCTATTGCATCAGCATTGACACCACTGCCAGAGGTTGGTGGGGGATGGGGAAGCAAATTGACCCTGGTGCATTTTACTCCTGAGCCAAAATAATTGTACTGAGGGTGAGTAAAAAGAAATTATAGGAGTGACAAAGAGCTTAATTTATCAGAGAATAACAAAGCTTTGATGTTTCACCAGACAATACTTTGATGGAAGGGGTGAAGGAATAGTAGACTTTAAAGGATCAATGCCAGTGAACTAAGATTGATTAGCAGTTGCCAATACTTCTAACACCATTGTAGGTTTGAGGGGAGCAAGAAATTATTAATTGAACATTGAATTCAAAGCAATGGATATTATCAATCTTATTATAATAATCTGAGGATTATTCACATAGAAAACAATAACCATTATTGAGAGAGGAAAATCCATGAAGGACAAGACTTGAGTAGACAGCTCATAACTGTGGGTCATTCCAATCACATCTGTAGCAGAACACACTCCTGTTAATGATTCACAAAGAAAAAGCACTCACTGTCTTGGAGTTTAGAATTGGAGTGGCAGACCAGAACTAAGTACAATAGAGAGTTCTGGAACTGTAGAATTTGAGTAATTTATTTCATCAATTATTTAGAAGCACTTGCATGTGACTATAAAACTCCCTAAGTTGTTACATTCCTTCATAGTAATCTATCAGAGAGTCTGAAACACTCATTGTCAATGACAGAGACAATTAAGGAACTCGTTACTTTCTTTCAGGCTGCGACAGCTATACTGCCACAGCCATCTCAATCTAAATTCAAGATTCACAGAACAGTTTTCGTCGTTGTCATACAAGATCTTCATCTCAGTTGCAGTAGTGAACTGCAGCAAACCAAATGGAGTCAGGATCTTGTAGTCAGTGAAACCCCTAGTAATGAGACATGACTCAGTAGGACATGGGGAAAGGCAAACCCCTCATAGATGGATACAATGTGGGCCATAGCAAAGCTGTTTTTTCTTTTCTAAAGAAGGGTCCAGACCCGAAACTTCAGCTTTCCTGCTCCTCTGATGCTGCTTGGCCTGCTGTGTTCATCCAGCTCTACACCTTGTTATCTCTGTTAATAATACCCATTGTGTAACCAAAGATACAAAAGCCAACACAGCTTGGATGGTAACAAAGGTGGACAGTATGACAAATGTCTCAGGCTCAGATGATTTTTGGGGTTCAGGTACCTTGGGCAATATGTTGTTCTTCTGAGGCAACTCATTGCTCACTACAAAATGTGTAATAACTCAGGAAACCCAACTGGAAAAGGAATACTGTTTATTGGTGTATGCCAAAATAGAGCTACAACTTTTGGCATATATATGCTGGTCCTAGCTGAGGCAGACTCGTCCCTGTGTCTGCTTATTTTTCTTCAATATCCAAAAGTGTTTATGCAGAACTGAACATTTTTTTCCCATCACCAAATCACCTTGTTATTAAATATTAACCATCACCACCAGTGAAATGCTATGAAGCCAATTAGATATTTACATGTAAAACCCACTACAGGCAATTGGAGATAACAAGGTGTAGAGCTGGATGAACACAGCAGGCCAAGCATCATCAGAGGAGCAGGAAGGCTGACATTTCGGGCCTAGACCAGGCAATTGGATTTACTTTATAAAGGGCTCATGTGATGAGATGGAGTTAGGCAGGCCATTGCCATTTCTAAGGGAACTCACACTCAGCAAGCTTCATGAAGAGATTAATTATTGATACCCCAAGGGCCTTGTAGGGGTTATCACAGAAGGAATGTTTAAATTTCACCTTACAGCCTTTGTCCTGACAATGTCTAGCTGTAGATTTGAAGCATCCTTTAGAACTCATTGTGCCCTTACTCAAGCACCACCAGTTCAACTACAACTTGTATCTGTCTGACAAAGTGTAAAATTGAACAGGCCCTCACACAAGGCAAGACAAATTCAATTTGACCAATTATTGCCCCATCATTTTACTCTCTTAATCAGCAAAAATGTAGTGGAAGGTGTTAATAGCCCTACCAGGCAGCAATTAATCACTAAATAACTTATCTACTTATACTTAGTTTGGGTTTTGGCAAGACCATTCAACTTCAGTTTTCATTACCGCTAGTGTCCTAGGCTCAACTATCTTGAGCTGCTCCTACATGACCCTCCTTCCATGATAAGCTGAGAAGTGGTGACATTCATTGCTCAATGTACAATGTTCAGAAAACAAAAGATAAAGCTAGGGGCTTGGAACCAGAAATTGGAAGAAAATGTGGACAAAATAATGATGTGCTAGGTGTAGTACTAGGTTTTACGCATGTCAGTTTGCCAGCACACTAAACTCATACTTCTTACTGAAGTGGTTAAAAGTATATAGCTTATACCCACTCAAATTGCTAACTTCTCAATGAATTAACACCATAACTGAGATTTAAAAGAGTGTTTTAAACTGAGGGGCAGAAACTAAAGGAATTAAAAATATTACTTGTGTATATATGAGACAGGTAAGTGAAAATTGTTTCCACATTAGAATTCTAGGATCTCTTACAGAGTTGTTGTTTTGAGTTTAATGTGAATCTTCTTCAGAAGTGGTAATTTGCAATGGTCTTCTCATCGGAGGATATAAGTAACATTCCAGTGAAAGCTGCATTTCAGTGGAATGAAAAGGAGGGAGGAACTCAAGAAAATTGCAATTGACAGGGAAATGGTACTGAGTAAATTGTGGAGCTACATGCTGACAAGTCCCTGGTTCCGGATGGACTTAATCCTAGTTTCTTAAAAGAAGTGGTTTGTGAGATAGTTGAAGCATTGTTTCTAATTTTCCAAAAGTCCTTAGACTCAGGAAAAAATTGATTGGATCTGGAAGATAGCATATATAATCCCTTAGTCAAAAAGGGAAGGAGACAGAAAACAGGGAAATACAGGCCACTTAGAGTTATAGCAGAACCTTTAGTCCAACTCATCCACGCTGACCAGATATCCCAAATTAATCTAGTCCCATTTCCCAGCATTTGGCCCATATCCCTGTAAATCCTTCCTATTCATGTACCCATCCAGAAGCATTTTAAATGTTGTAATTGTACCAGCCTCCACTACTTTCTCTGGCAGCTCATTCCAAACAACCACCACCCACTTCGTGAAAGATTTGCCCCTTAGGTCTGTTTTGTATCTTTCCCCTTTCACTTTAAACCTATCCCCTCTAATTTTGGTCTTCCCCTACCCTGGGAAAAATACCTTGGCTAGTCACCCTATCTATGCCCCTCACGATTTTATAAACCTCTTTAAGGCTTAAACATCAGCCTCTGATGCTCCGGGGAAAATAGCCCCAGCCTATTCATCGTCTCCCTGTAGCTCAAACCCTCTAATCCTGGCAACATCCTTGTAATCACAGGGAAAATATTAGAAGCTATAAAGGCATTATAGTAGGAATTTTAGAAAAATGCAAGATAATCAAACTGCGTTAAAATGGTTTATTGAAAGGGAAATGATGTTTAATCAATTTGTTAGAATCCTTTGAAGAAGTAATATGTGCTATGGATAAAAGGGAGATGGCAGTGAATAGTAGTGTCACTGGTCTAGAAATCCAGATGCCCAAGCTAATGCTCTGTGGGCAGGAGATCAAATTGCATCACAAAGTGACTGGAAATCAAACTCAAGCAATAAATCTGGAATTGAATGCTAATCTCAGTAATGATGACCACAAAAAGTATCATTGAATGATGTAAAAACTCATCTCATTCACGAATTATTGTTTAGGGAAGGAATCCTGTCTGCCATCCTTATCCTGTTTGGCTCACATGTGATTTTAGACCCAGTCCCAATGTGGTTGAATCTTAGTCATCCTCAGAAATGTTCAAGCAAGCCATTCAGTTCAAGGGCATAGAGATAGGGAACAGATGTTGGCTTTGCTTGCTCTGTCTACACCCATGAATTGTTTTAAAGAAGTAATGGAACACGCATTGAGGTTATCAGTGAGGTGACAGAAGTTTCAACAAGGGATGAAGAAAAGAACTTCCTCCACTTCACTCACAGGAGGGAAGACCAGTATGAAAGGGTGCATCAGGGATAAGTCCATGAGGTAAATATTTTTATGTCGCTGTTCATGGGTCAGAGGGAGCAGGAATATTTACTCCTGAACCACCAAGATTACCTCAACACAGCCTGCGATCTGACTCCCCAATCTCCAACTCCACTACTCATTCTCTTCCCCAGAATCTCCAACTACCATATTTGATCTTTGACTCCCTCACCCTCATCCAGTTTGGCTGAATGTGATGTACTGATGAAGGGAGGTCATTCACAGTGTATCAAAAATTTGCCCACTAAACAGATAAAAAGTATAATCTAAGAGGGAATTTTTTGTGAAACTTTACAGGCATACACATTTATTCAAAAACGCTTTCTAAAAATGTGATTTTATATGGTGGAGACTTTTAACTGGACTGCCCTCTCTACTGATCCCTCCCCCAACCCACAACACCATCCCAAAACTTGTCCCTATCTCATGTGATGTCAATGAGCTCAAAACTTAGGTAGTATTAAGAGAAGATCAATAAACACAAATATGTCACTTAGGTAGCTTAACATTGGATTTGATTTTTAGAAAGTTAGTACATAGGAGGTATAAAATAACTACCGTTTTCTTTATATGTAGATGTACTTTTCTTTTTTCTCTCTTAATTTCCAGTAATTTCTAGCAGGTTTTGAATCATGGTGGATGAGGAGATTGCAGCATTGATTATAGATAATGGATCTGGGATGTGTAAGGCTGGGTTTGCAGGGGATGATGCTCCGAGAGCGGTATTCCCTTCCATCGTAGGGAAGCTTCGACATGAGGTCAGTATTTAATAGACTTTTTTTTTAACTCTTCTAATTTTTATAAGGGGCCTTCAACTTGCTAACAGATATCATCTTGTAAGTTCTTTAAGGAAGCAAACTGTATGTTAAACGATGAATTTAGAGACTGCAGTCAATATTTCAATGGTGTTATTTCTCTAGACTTCTTTTCTCTTTTTCTCTCCCAATCTTATGTGTTTAAGTAATTGGTGTTTATGAATAAACACTGAAAAAGTATAATATTCAAAAATTGGAAGCTCACCAATAATGCTGAGCCAAAAGAAATATTAGGAGGAGTAAATAATATATTTGTCAAAAATGTAAGTGAGGAGTGAAAAAAGTAGAGAGGATTGGTGCCTAGATAGTTGAAGAAATTGCTGCCAAAGTTGGGACAAAGAAAGTACAAGGTATCACGGAGAGATTTAAAATGCATAAAATATTGGAACTGTCAAATCTGTCAAAGAACTGCCAAAAATCACTTTCAAAACTGTCAAACAACGTTGAATTGTTCTATGGAGATGGTACAGTGACGTTTACTAGAAAGATGCCAAGGATGAAGACTTTAGTTATGCAGAGGGGCAAGAGAAACTAGGGTAGTTTCTATGTTTTCCTTGCAACAGAGAAGATTAAGGTAGTTGGGCAGGTTTAATAGAGATGCTCAAAATTATGGGAGAAAAATTTGAAAAGATTGATAGGGAGAAACTGGTTCCAATTATGGAAAGTAACTAACCAGAGGAAATCTATTTAGAATAATTGACCCAGATGTGATATAAGGGAACCTTTTTTAAACACCGAGACAACAAGGTGCAGGGCTGGATGAACACAGCAGGCCAAGCAGCATCATAGGAGCGAATGTACTGTCCAAATGAAAGGTGATAGCAATTAACTAGGAATGCTCAAAAGTGAATTCAGTAAATAGCCAAATGAGAAAAAAAAATGCAGGGTTATGGAGAAAGAGAAATGGAGTGTGATTGATTGGATATCTCAACTAAAGAACCAACACAGGTATGACAGGCTATATGTTTTCCTACTCTTCTGCTTTAATCTATAACTTTATGGGAAATCCATATGTGGTCCTGCAGAGTTTAACACTGTGGACTACCATATTATTTGAAGCCATCCCACTACTCCATCTATGTGCAAAATACAGTTAGCTATATTGTAAGGTCTGTTGGTTAATGCAGAAAATAGACACATGTTTCAATAGACAAGCTTTTCATTTGCCCTCAACTGGACAATTCACAAGAAATACTACAGTAAAGGGAAATAAAAATTGCACTGTATGAGAGGACAGTGCTGATTGACAAGTGGGCTTTGCTTGCAAATGGCATTGTCAGTGAGAATCCACCATTTAATGATGACTGACCGTTATCTGCCAAGATTTGTTTAAATTTTAAACATGGTAAGTTGACTCTGACTGGTCAAGACATTGCCACAAGAAAGGGACCAGAGAATGGCTATTATTTATTTAGTTGCATCGAAAAATGAGCAGTGTGTGTACATGTTCATTCTGCAAAGAACAAGTGCTCTGTGTATTTGTACATGTAGCTTCCACTGCCCCGTAAGTTGCCATACTGCAAATCTGATTGATCATCGACATTGGTTGTCACTAATGTTGTCCAATTGCAGAATCACATCTAATATTGGATTTTGTGAGAAACTCACAGCATAATGTCTAACATTAGATGTGATTCTCTTTTAGTTTAATATTACTTACAAGTTTTCCTAATGAGGGCAGGATTTTCAACAAAATGTGCCTTTTTTCAGCAATACTCAATTTCAATACTACCAGGCAACTATAAGATCTATTGGGCGACTTTAAATTTAACATTAATGTTTTCAGTTAAGGTCAAAAATCACACGACACCAGCTTATACTCCAGCAGGTTTATTTGAAGACATAAACTTTCGGACTTTCACTCATTCTTCAGGTGTCAGTGAGAGGGGTGGCATCAGACACAGAATTTATGAACAAAAGATCAAAGGGTCATAGACCAGTGTTGAACAAACCTAAGATGGCTGTTAAATCTTTAATCAGTTAGAAAGAATTACTATGCAAATTCCAGAATTTCTTTCAAGTCATTGGCCTGAGATAGCCAAAGGTTTTATCAATTCCCTCAGTATAACATAGGTGACATCCCAGGTCAGACAATGCATTTTAGGTGTGAGGCCTTGTTTCGAATCTGGCTGTGCATCAAATTGGAGTCAGACTGGTTTTATTTGCAAAGTAGGAATTTATAAAATGCCACATTGACTGTCTACAAATTGTGTGCTTTTTGAACAAAATAGAATGTATCTGCAATTACAGATCTGCAAATGCAAATACAGCCCATAGATTTATGGATGTGCTCTGTGTGTGTGTTTGTGTGTGTGAGGGAGCGGTGCGTGTGTGTGTGAGGGAGCGGTGCGTGTGTGTGTGAGGGAGCGGGTGCATGTGTGTGTGAGGGAGTGGGTGCGTGTGTAGATAGTGTGGTGGGGTCACCTGTAGCATGACATGATTGCAAGATCCCTGCTGAGGCCACCCTCTTGGGTGCCGAATTTGGTCATCAGCCTGTGCTCGGTGACTCCACCCTAAACATATTAACACAGGCAGGACAAGTCCTACGCATACACAGACATAACACAGTGTGGAGCTGGAGGAAAACAGCAGGCCAGGCAGCATTAGAGGAACGGGAAAGTTGATGTTTCAGGTCAGGACCCTTCTTTTCTGAAGAAGGATCCTGACCTGAAACGTCAGCTTTCCTGTTCCTCTGATGCTGCCTGACCTGCTGTGTTCCTCCAGCTCCACACTGTGTTAACTCTGACTCCAGCATCGGCAGTTCTTACCATCTCTATGCATACACAGGATCTGTTCAGATGAGGAGGAATGCAACGGATGCCTGTAGATGCTGAAGGACACCCTCATAAGAATGGGATATGATGTTGAACTCATCAATCGACACTTTCAATGTGCCACAGCAACGAACTGTAATAATCTCAGAAGGCAAATATGGGATACATCCGACAGCGTACCCTTCGTTGTCCAGTACTTCCCGGGAGCAGAGAAACTACGCTGTGTTCTTTGCAGCCTTTAACACATCTTCAATGATGATGCGCACCTCGCCAAGATATTCCTTATGTCTCCACTTCTCGCCTTCAAACAACCGTCAAACCTTAAACAGACCACTGTTCGCAGCAAACTACCCAGCCTTCAGGACAACATTGACCACAACAACACACAACCCTGTCATGGCAATCTCTGCAAAACATGTCAGATCATCAACATGGACACTACCATCACACATGGGAACACCACTCACCACGTACTTGGCAGATACTCATTTGACTCGGCCAACATTGTCTATCTCATACGCTGCAGGCAAGGATGCCCCGAGGCCTGGTATATTGGCAAAACCATGCAGACACTACGATAACAGATGAATGGACACCGCGCAACAATCGCCAGACAGTAGGGGAACACTTCAGCGGACAAGGACATTCGGCCTCGGATCTTTGGGTAAACATCCTCCAAGGTGTTCTTTGGGATACACAACAACGCAGAGTCACCGAGCAGAGGCTGATTGCCAACTTTGATCCCCATGAGGACGGCCTCAACCGGGATTTCGGATTCATGTTGCACTACAGGTGACCCCACCACACTATACACACATGTGCACAAGCGCACATACACAGTCTCTCTCTCTCTCATGCACATGTATAGTGTCTCTCTCTCTCTCTCTCTCTCTCACACACACACACACACACACACACACACAGTCACTCTCTCTCTCTCTCACACACACACAGTCACTGTCTCTCTCTCTCACGCACAGTCACTCTCTCTCTCACGCACACGCACGGTCTCTCTCTCTCACGCACACATACATGCACACACACTCTTTCTCTCACACGCACACACGCGCGCACGCACATAAATCTATGGGGTGAATTTGCATTTGCAGATTTGTAATTGCAGATACATTCTATTTTGTTCAAAATGCACACAATTTGTTGATAGTCAACGTGGTATTTTAGAAATTCCTAGTTCGAAAGTAAAACCAGTCTGACTCTAAGTTGATACACAGCTAGATTCTAAACAAGGCCTCACACCTAAAATGCATTGTCTGACCTGGGATGTCACTTCTGTTATACTGAAGGAACTAAAATAACCTTTAGTTATCTCAGGGCAGTGACTTGAAAGAAATTCTGGAATTTTCTTATTAATCCTTTCTAACCGATTTAAGATTTAACAGCCGTCTTAGTTTTGTTCAATACCACATCAGTTTTTATGACCCTTTGATCTTTTGCTTATAACTTCTGTGTCTGATGCCACCTGTCTCACAGACACCTGAAGAAGGAGCGAGACTCCAAAAGCTTGTGTCTTCAAATAAACCTGGTGTTGTGTGATTTTTGACCTTGTCCATCCCAGTCCAATATGGGCACCTCCGCATCATATGTTCAGTTAAGGGAAAATTCTGACCCTTGAGTATGTAGTACATGAACAGACTATCTTAACTAGGTAGAATGACAGGTACTAGGAGAAAATGAACAATTTCTAAACAAGATACATTTAAATGTTGAATTTTAAGCTTACATTTATTGGTGCATTAATTATGTAAGCGTGGAAAATGAAGGGGTGTTGGGTGAAAGAGCAGGTCAGAGGCTAGGAATTCTGCAACAATAGCTTATCTTCTGACTCTCCAAAGCCTGTCCACCATTAACAAAGTACATGTCAGAATTGTAATGGAGTTGTCTTCTATTGCCTAAATGAGAGCAACTGCAATGACACTCAAGAAGCTTAGCAACATCCAGGACAAAGTAATCTGGTTAACTGGCACCCCATCCACAAGCATTCACTCTCTCCACCATTGACACTCAGTAGCAGCAATGTGTACTATCTATAAGATCCAGAAGTTTACCAGGCTCCTCAGACTGCACTTTCCAAAAGTTATGACAACTACCATACAGAAGGCCAAGGGCAGAAGATATATGAGAATAATATAACTTGCAAGTTCCCCTCCAAGCC